CTGATTCTTCTGTGAGGCCCCATGTATTTGGGTGCTAAAATCTTGTCAACAAAAAGAGTAAAACTCTGTAAAATATTTTAAGAGTTTTATTCTGAGCCAAATATGAGTGACCATGTCCCATGTCACAGCCCTCAGAGGGTCCGGAAAACAGGTGCCCACGGTGATCGGGACACAGCTTGGTTTTATATATTTCAGGGAGGCATGAGACATCAATTAAATACACTTAAGAAATGCATTGGCTTGTGGGGCGAGGTGGCGCATGCCTGTAATTCCAGCACTTTGGGAGGCTGAGGCGGGCAGATCACCTGAGGTCGGGAGTTCGAGACCAGCCTGACCAACATTGAGGAACTCCATCTCTACTAAAAATACAAAATTAGAGGGGCATGGTGGCATATGCCTGTAATCCCAGCTACTCGGGAGGCTGAGGCAGGAGAATTGCATGAACCCGGGAGGCAGAGTTTGCAGTGAGCAGAGATGTCACCATTGCACTCAAGCCTGGGTAATAAGAGCCAATCTCTATCTCGAAAGAAAGAAAGAACGAAAGAGACAGAGAGGAAGGAAGGAAGGAAGGAAGGAAGGAAGGAAGGAAGGAAGGAAAAAGAAAGAAAGAAAGAAAGAAAGAAAGAAAGAAAGAAAGAAAGAAAGAAAGAAAGAAAGAAAGAAAGAAAGGAAGGAAGGAAGGAAGGAAGGAAGGAAGGAAAGAAAGAGAGAGAAAGACAGACATTGGCTTTGTTCAAAAAGGTGGGACAACTTGAAGCGGGGGCTTCCAGGCTACAGGTAAATTTAAATATTTTCTGGTTGACAATTGGTTGAATTTGTTTGACTGGTGTTAATTTCCTAGTGCTGCCCTAACAACGTACCATAAGCTTGGTGGTTCAAGGTAGCAGAAATGTATTGTCTGACAGTTCTAGAGGCTCAAAGTCAAGGTGTTGGCAGGGTTTGTTCCTTCTGGGGGAGAATCTGTTCCATGCATCTCCCCTAGCTTCCAAGAGCTCCATGTGTTCTTTGGATTGTAACCGATTACTCAAATAATCTCTCTTCAAATGTCTTCAAGTGGCATTTTCCCTGTGTCTCTTTTTCACATGATCATCTTCCGATAAGGACACCAGTCATACTGGATTAGGGGCTCACAGTACTCTAGAATGACCTCATCTTTAACTAATTACAGCTTCGATGACCCTATTTCCAAATAAGGTCATATCCTGTGCTACTGGGGGTTAGGACTTCAACTTATCTTTTTTTGGGAGACATAGTTCAACCCATAACAAAGACCGGGGATTGTTAGAAAGAAATGTTGAGGTTGATGTGGAGTCTAGGTTTTATTGTGCAGAGCGAGCTTTCAGATAGCAGACTTCAGAGAGAGAGCAGGTTGTAAAATGTTTCTTATCAGACCTAAAAGGGTGCCTGGCTCTTAGTTGATTATCTCCTGGATCTGGAAAGAAAAGAAGGAAAACAAAGGGGAATGGGGATTCTCTATAGAATGTGGATTTTTCCCACAAGAGCCTTTGCAGGGCAATTTCAAGGCATGGCCAGGAAATATATTTTTGGGTTAAATATTTTTTTCCTTGTCTCCTAATGTTATGCCAGAGTCAGACTGAAAAGTAAGCCACGGTACAGAGGGTCAAATAAAACCCATCTCATGAGAACTTAACGGTTTGCCGGGCGTGACTCCCCAGACCCCTTAGGTAGGAATTTGGACAAGATAAAAATCAGAGCTTAGTCCTGTGTACTGAAATCTGTATTAGTCAGAGTTCTCCGTGGAAACAGACGCAATAGGATACAGAAAGATATTTATCATGAGGAATTGGCTCGTATGATTTTAGAAACTGAGAAGTCCCACAGTCTGGTATCTATAAGCTGGAGACTCAGGAAAGCTGATGGTGTAGTCCAGTCTGAGCCCAGAATTCTGAGAACCACAAGAACTGATGGTGTGAGTTCTAGTCTAAGTCCAAATTCCTGAGAACTTGAGGTCTGATGGTATAAGTTCCAGTCTAGTTTGAAGACCCGAGAATCAGGAGTGCTGACGGTGTAGGTCACAGTCCGAGGGCAGGAGAAGACTGGTACCCCAGCTCCAACACTCAGCAGAGAGAGAGAGACGGGGGTGGCGACACACACACACACACACACACACACACACACACACAGAGACAGAGAGAGAGAACTGTTCCTTCCTTTGTCTTTTTGTTCTGTTCAGAGTTTCATTGAACTGGATGATGCCCAGCCACGTTGGGCATCTGCTTTAGTCAGTCCACAAATTTAAATACTAATCTCTAGTGGAAACACCTGAACAGACACACTCAGAAGTAACGCTTAACCAGATATCTGGATATTTCATGGCCCAGTTAAGCTGACACATGAAATTAATCATCACGGAAGCTCACGTATGAATAACTGATTTTTTTGACAGTGCAAAAAGCTACTCAGTGATGAGTACAATAAAATATTAGAAAGAGATTTTTTTTTTTTTTTGGTTGACTCAGAATTTTGGCTAATATCTAAAGCTGACAACATTAGGTGTTAAGAAATCCTATATTCCAAAGAAGGTTCTTGGCATGCCCTACAGGACTTTCCAAACTGGTCTAAAAACAGTTATCAACAGCCCAAATCAGGAAAAGAGAGAGACTGACTGAAACCACCTTTGCACAGTTATGACAGGAAGAGAAATACGACATAGTTGACTCCATTTTGCTTGTAACCTACAAGTTGGCTTTGGTGATTCCTCAGCGTAGGCCAAACAAACGTTGGGAGGCATTTAATTTATACTTTAACCTTACAGCAAAGATGATAGTAACCGTTTCCTAAAACTAAACCACCTCTGTAAAACGAATGAAAGCCCACAGGTTAGGATTAAGAGAGGGGCCTGAGTTCTGGTAAAATATCGGTAAAGTTAAATGATAACCAGCCGTTGCTCTGGAAGTCACAAGATTTGTAACTTCCTCAGTCCCTCCTGTAGATAATATCTACTATTATAGAACCCAAGATTGGGCTTTGAGACTTTTTTTTCAGATTTTACATCTCTTATGACCGGCTGACTCCAGCCACAACTGCAACTCATGACTCCGTCAGTCCTGTGGTCTTATCCAAAGGCCACCTCAGTGCATGAGGACCATTTTCCACCCCCCTATGATTTTACCCCAATCAATCAATATCCCCCATTCCCTAGCCCTCTGATCACCAACTATCCTTGGAAACCCCTAAGCTTGGAGCCTTCAGGGAGACCTATTTGAGTGATACCCGTGGTTCTAATCCATGGGTTAGCGTCCTCTCAACCAAACTCTCTTTACTGCTACGCCGTAGTCTCAGTGAATTGCTTTTGCCTGTGGAGAGGGCAGGAAGAATCTGCTGGTGATTACAGGATTGCAGAGACAAATTCTTTGAAAGAATTTGTGAATCAAAAGGTTGCTGGGGTCTGGGTGTGGTGGCTCACATTTGTAATCCCAGCTCTTTGAGAGGCCAAGGTGGGAAGATTGCTTGAGCTTAGGAGTTCAAGACTGGCCTGGGCAACATAGCAAGTCATCATCTCTACTAAAAATAAAAAAATAAAATAATTAGCTGGGCATGTTGGTGCATGTCTGTAGTCCCAGCTACTAGGGAGGCTGAGGAGAGAGGATCGCTTGACCCTGGGAGATAGAGGCTACAATGAGCTACAATCACACCACTGCACTCTAGCTAGGGCAACAGAAAGAGACCACTTAATAAAAAAAAGGATTGCTGGGGTAGTTCCCCTCCTGCCCTGATTCCAAGTGAGAGGTGAAACAAGAAGCCCCTTTGGAGAGATTGAGCACTGCTTGCTAAAGGTGAACAGTCTTACTCCTTGGCTGTATGTTTGCTCAGCTATGGGAGCTTGTAAATTTGAAACAGCAAACGGAACAAAAAGGTGTTTGAAAGAACCTCACCTACGTCCCCTTCTGAAGAGGATACAGACACTTCTGTGTGACGTTATTTAGAGAGGCTCAGTGGTGAAAAGCTAGCAGAAGTTGCTCCTGACGACAGGGTAGGGTGGGGTGGCTTCAAGGTGCAGCTCCACGATTTGGTGAGTGGGTATATGAGCTCCCCTCATCCCAGAAGTAGATGTGGGTTTGAGTCATCTGCAAAGGGCTTTATGCAAGAGGACTCTCTATCAGTGAGGAGAGCCTACAAGAAAGAAGCCATGTTGGATGCTTCATTAGAAGTTGAGGGCTAAGGTAAAGTCACAAGAGGCCTTCCAGGGAGCATCTCACGTGTATAAGGGAATGACGCAGTGCAGAAATTCCCCAGTGATGCATCTCAGCTTAGGATCTCCTAAGACCCGTAGAAGTATCCCATGAGAGACAATTTGCATTTGTGTATTGTATCAGTCATGTTTCAACCAGAGAAGCAGGGCCAGGAGAAGAGATGCATACAGTCCTGCACTGTGTCATGATGTTTTGGTTAACAACGGGTCACATATATGATGTAATTATACCACAACATTATAATAAGGTGAAAAATTCCTAGTGACATCCTATCTCTAGGGACATCAGAGCTGTGATAATATCATGGCACAATACATTACACTTTACTCGTGTGTGTGGTGATGCTGGGGTAAACAAACCTACTTCATTGCCGGTCGTGTAAAAACTATAGCACATATGGTTATGTATGATACATAATACCTGATGATATACATGCCTCTGTTATTGATTTATGTATTTACTATATTATAATTTTTTTTTTTTTTTACTTTTTAAATGGCTTTATTTGATGTGCAAATAACAAACAGATGTTGTACCCATAAATTCTACTTTTCAAAAACAGGAGCTTTTTAAAAGAAAACCGCATAGCTTTTAAAAGGCACTGAGATTCGTGGCTCACACCTGTAATCTCAGCACTTTGGGAGGCTGAGGCGGGTGGATCACCTGAGGTTGGGAGTTCAAGACCACCCTGACTAACATGGAGAAACCCCAGCCCAAAAAAAAAAAGAAAAAAAAAAAGGCACTCTGCTTCTAGATCATTGGTAGGCTAGAAAAATAAAGTTTGTTCTACCAGGAATCACAAGTTGGAACTGAGTATTCTCCAAAGTGGAAATTCTGGAGTGTAGTGTCACTCCAGGCAAAGATTATTCAGTTCTCATCCCCAACATCTAAAACTACCTATCAGAAGGGTTAAACCAGGTCAAAACAGTTTAGCATAATTAGGCTTCATCAAACAATATCATTATGCTCTTCTGAGATGCAAATAAACCAAAACAGGAAATACTAAAATCAAAATAATATTTGACACTGTCATACAAATTGTTAGTTCCTTGTTGTATCCGCCCTTCTATAACATTAGTACAGGGAATATTTTAGGGCAAAGAATATTTTATTTTATACATCACTAACCATGAATTTTTGCCATTAGTTATACAAAATGCTGCTCTCTGCCATTATCCAAATGACATAACTGTTTTACAGCCACAATTCACTTCTATAGTTACAAGCAGAATTTTCATGATTTACATAAGTACCTCTATCAGTGGAGATTTAACACTGAAATGCGATGTAACATTCGTAATATCTGATGTTTTGTAGATGGCAATGGAGGAAAGATATATTTTAATCACTTTTCATTTAAGTGACCTTATGTAAAAAATAAACTAATAACTTTGCAGTTCCAAGTGTCCAGAGGGCATTTTCAAATGTACATAAAAGAAATGGTTACAGAGATGGTTAAGATGCATCTTCCATGTCCACATCCTCTTGCAACTGCTGTACCATTTTCTCTTCCAAATGCTTCCGTTTGCCTGCAAGAGGGGCTCAGATAAGATGGATGTTTTGCTTGACTTCTTTGATATCCTGAACTTTCTGTAGCTCTGTTTTTCTTCAATCTGTTCATTATAAATGCAGCTTGGCGTTTCTGGTTGATCTCTGCAACTCTCTTCATTGCATCAATAGTTTTATTCCATAGCTCTCGCTGGTATTTGATAGGTTCATTTCTATGCTTTTCAAATTCAAATGAATTATCCACTGTAAGCTCTTTAGCAGCTGCTTTCCAGAATGCTTTGGTCCACCTAACTTTGTGGGGATTGCTCTTCTTTTTAAAGTCTGTGACTTTCTTTTTTGTTTTAAAGTTTTTTTGACAGTTAGATTCATAAAATCTGAACACCTTGCAATTGTTGTGGACAAACATCATGCCGTGGCCAGGGTAGATGGGCCCCAAACAGAAATAACACTCCTCGATATGCCTGTTGAACCCACGTGGGTTCCCACTGACCAAACGTCACTCTTGGGAGGAAGTCTAATTTTTTTTTTTTTTAATGAGATGGAGTTTCTCTCTAGTTGCCCAGGCTGGAGTGCAATGGCGTGATCTTGGCTCACTGCAACCTCCACCTCCCAGGTTCCAGCAATTCTCCTGCCACAGCCTCCTGAGTAGCTGGGACTACAGGCACATGCCACCATGCTTGGCTAACTTTTTGTATTTTTAGTAGAGACCGATTTCACCATGTTGGCCAGGCTGGTCTCAAACTCCTGACCACAGGTGATCCAACTGCCTCGGCCTCCCAAAGTGCTGGGATTATAGATATGGGCCACCGCGCCCGGCTATCATATTTTTTATTGTTATTTGAGAGTACATTCTTTCTACTTATCTATAAAAAAATTAGTTAATTGTAAAACAGTCTCGGGCAGTCCTTTCAGGAGGTTTTCCAAAACAAGGTATTATCACAGCAGAGGACAGCTTCATGTGTCATATTGCCTCTGAAGACCTCCCAGTGGGACATGATGAGGAAGTAGAACAGTGATACTGATGATGCTGACCCTGCGTAGGCCCAGGCTAATGTATGTGCCTGTGTCTTAGTTTTTAACAAAAATATTTAAAAAGTAAAAAAAATTAAATAAAAAACCTTATAGAATAAGGATATAAAGAAAAAAAATTTTTGTGTAGCTGTACAATACATTTGTGTTTTAAGCTGTGTGTTAATACAAAAAAGTCAAGTCGTTTTGAGATTTCTCAAAGAATGTAAGACAGAACTACCATTCAATCCAGCAATCTCACCTCTGGGTGTATACCCAAGGAAATACACATTGCTCTAACAAAAAGGCACATGCATGTGCATGTTCATTGCAGCACCATTCACAATGGCAGAGACACGGAATCAACCTACATGCCCATCAGCAGCGAACTGGATAAAGAAAATGTGGTACATCTACACCATGGAGTACTACACAGCCATAAAAAATCATGTTTTTTGCAGCAACATGGATGGAGCTGAAGGCCATTATCCTAAGCAAACTAATGCAGAAACAGAGAACCAAATACCACATGTTCTCACTTATAAGTGGGAGCTAGATGTTCAGTATACAGGGATGCAGAGTGGAACAAAAGACACTGAGACCTATCGAGAGTGGAGGCTGGGAGGAGGGTGAGGCTGGAAAAAACTACCTATTGGGAACTGTGCTGATACCTGGTAACGAAATCATTTGTATACCAAACCGCAGCGACATGCAATTTAGCCGTGTAACAAGCCTGCACGTGTACCCACTGAACCTAAAAAAAAGTTAACAACAACAACTACAAAGTTTATAAAGTAAAATGTTAGAATAAGCTAAGGTTAATTTATTATTGGAGAAAGAGGCTTCACTTTATGGCAGCTGAGGCCTGACTGAGAGCTGGCCGAGCAGCCTCCGCTGAAAGTGGAGTGGTGCTTGTGGTCCTCCTGAGGAGGCACCAGATCACCTCTTACTGTGGCCTCGCCATGGCAACCGATGAGTAGACCTGCATGTGGCCAACGTGTATTTCTTCATCATATGTCAACCTTGGCAAAGCCGCCAGAGATATTTTTAACAAAGGATTTGGTTTAGGGTTGGTCAAACTGGATGTAAGAACAAAGTCATGCAGTGGGTGTGGGATTCTTAACATCTGGTTCATCTAATACGGACACTGGAAAAACTCTTGGGGTCTTGGAAACCAAATATAAATGGTGTGAGGATGGCGTGACTGTCCCAGGAAAATGGGACACTGAGAACAATACTCTGGGGACAGAAGTCACAATTGGACCAGATCTGTCAAGGTTTGAAACTAACATTTGGTACTGCCTTCTTACCAACCACAGGAAACGAAAGTGGTAAAATCAAGTCCTCTTGCAAGAGGGAGTCTATAAACCTTGCTTGTGATATTAATTTTGAGTTTGTTGGACATGAAATCTGTGGTTCAGCTGTCTTTGGTTATGAGGGCCGGCTTGCTGGGTACCAGATGACCACTGACAGAGCCAAGTCAAAGCTGACAGGAATAATTCTGCAGCGGGTTACCGGATGGGGACTTCCAGCTACACACTAATAACTATAATGGGACAGAATTTGGAGGCTCGGCTTATTAGAAGGTATGTGGCAATCCTGACACTTTGGTAACCCTTGCTTGGCCATCAGGTCCGACTGCATTCATTTTGTCATTGCCGCTACATATCGGTTGCATTTCGCAGCTTCCATTTTTGCAAAAGTCAACAACTCTAATTTAATTGGAGTGGAAAGAAGAGACTTCATTTACACTCAGACTCTGAGGCCTGCTGTGAAGCTTACACTTTCTGCTCTGCTCGATAAGAAGCACATTAATGCAGGAGGCCAAACACTTGGGTTTATCCTGGAGTTGGAGACAATCCAGTGGAAAGAAACCTTGGGAACGGATATCAGAAGATTTGGCTTTAATATATTTCCATTGTGATCAGCAGGCTCTCCCCACAAAGAAGGTGATCAAAACAAAGTATCTAAATCAGGGCGATATTTTAAATATTTAGACAGTTGCTCATTAGCTGGTTTCTAGTTGAATTGGTTATGTATCTAGTTACCAATACGCTGCAGCCATGCAGTCACCTATACATTATTTAAGTGTGTTTAACGTTTAAATGCACTACCCACCAATCATGAAGTAAACTTTTATGAAAACTGTGGAAAAAAAATTTAAAAATGAATTTAGTGTAGCTTACATACACAGTGTTTATAAAATCTATGGTAATTTACAATAATGTCCTAGGCTTTCATATTCACTCACCACTCACTGACATGCAGAGCAATATCCAGTCCTGCAAACTCCATTCGTGGTAAGAGCCCTAATACAAGTGTACCACGTTTAATGTTTTATACTGTATTTTGATGGTATCTTTTCTATGTTTAGATACATTTAGACACACAAATATGTGTCATTTTGTTACAATTGCCTAAAGTAACATGCAGTCCAGGTTTGTGGCCTAGGAGCAATTGTCTACACCATATAGCCCAGGTGTGTAGTAGGCTATTCCATCTAGAATTGTGTAAATACGATCTATGACATTTGTATAACCACAAAGTTGCTTAAGGTTACATTTATCAGAACATATCCCTGTCATTCAGCGATGCACAACTGTATTAAAAGGTTTACTGCAGGACGGGTGTGGTGGCTCATGCCCGTAATCCCAGCACTGTGGGAGGCCAAGTTGGGCAGCTCACGAGGTCAAAAGATCGAGACCATCCGGGCCAACAAGGTAAAACCCCACCTCTACTAAAAATACAAAAAAAAAAAAAAATTATCTAGGTGTGGTGGCGCACGTCTGCAGTCCCAGCCACTTGGGTGGCTGAGGCAGGAGAACTGCTTGAACCCGGGAGGCAGAGATTGCAGTGAGCCGACAGGGTCATGCCACTGCACTACAGCTTGGGCGACAGTGTGAGACTCCGTCTCAAGAAAAAAAAAAAAGAAAAGAAAAAAGATTTACTGCAGTGGCTCATGCCTGTAATCCTAGCGCTTTGGGAGGCCAAGACAGGAGGATTGCTTGAAGCCAGGAGTTCAAGACTGGCCTGGGCAACATACTGGGACCCCTCTGATCCTTACAAAAAACTTAAAATTGGCTGGGTGTGGTGGTGCCTGCCTATAGTCCTACCTATTCAGGAGGCTGAGGCTGGAGACTCACTTGAGCCCAGGAGTTCAAGATTTCAGTAAGTCGTGATTGTGCCACTGCACTCCAGCATGGGCAACAAAGCAAGACCCTGTAAGGAATTGGCTCATGACTAGGCAATTCCAAAATCCATAAGGCAGGCTGCCAGGAGGGGCAGGCTGGGACTCTCTAGCAAAAGCCGAAGTTGCTGAAGCTGCTGTCTATAGGTAGAAATTCATATTAATCAGGGTAGCCTTAATTCCACTCTTAAGATCTTTCAACTGATATTGAACCGATCTCACCTTGATAATCTAGGATACTTCCCTTTACTTAAAATCAACTGGCTATGGACTTTAATGAAATCTACAAAATACCTTCAGTAAATATCTAGATTAGTGTTTGGTTGAATAACAGCAAAGTTGATACATCACATAACCATCCCAGGTATCTTCCACATAAAATCATGGCCAGATAACAGTAGTGCCGGAGGAAGGCTTTTCCCTTTCCTTCGAATTCCCTATCTCCCGAGGCTGGAGGGCTGCATCACTTCCCCACTGCTGGTTTGTGAGAGCTGCATGCAGAAGAAAACAAAAATTAGCTGGATGGGTGGCAGGCACCTGTAATCCCAGCTACTCGGGAGGCTGAGGTAGGAGAATCGCTTGAACCCGGGTGGTGGAGGCTGCAGTGAGCCGAGATCGTGGACTGCAATCCAGCCTGGGCAGCAAAGTGAGACTCCATCTCAAAAAAAAAACTTAAAATAAAAAATGAATTGGTTATATGAATAGCATTTTGATTTAGTTGGATTAAACTTTTTCTGATAGTCAAATGAGACTTAATGTAGCTTGAATTTATTAGAAGAGCTAAATGATTTGCCTGAGAAGTTGTCCAAGGGTATGGAGGCTCTGGTTGGAGAATAAAGCTCTTTCCTGATTGTAATATATGAATTCTGTTCATTCAATAAGTGGGTCACATGTATAAAATAGACGATTGCTAAATACAACAGTAATTATCACATCGAAGGCTTATCTCTTCGCCTCCGCGTCTATTCTTTTTGTCTTTTCTCTTTTGTTGTTTTTGATGGCTACTCTCTGCTTTTACTGAGAATAGAAGAGAAAACCAGCTTAGATTACATACGTGAAATATTAGAACGTGAGATTGTATTTTCCTTCTCTGATGACTTTACAAATGGAATGATTAAAAAGTATTTTTCTCTAACAATTTGTGTACACAGAAACTTAGGATTGACAAAATGATCTTGTTCCCAACCTATGTATAATTTTATGTTTTTTTTTTAAAAACGTTTTTTTCTATTCATGAAGTTTTCTTCTGTTTCTTCTTCCTCATGACACCACTTTGACAACAGCAGTCTCACTACACATTA